ACATTAATATATATATATATACATACATATAAATATATATATATATATACATACATACATATGCACATTCATGCTACGCATACATAATCGTGATAAAGCAGGGTTTCTACTCCATAGAAGTGTACAGCTTGAGCTTGTGCTGCAAGAAACAGAACCCGAGATTGTCCTTGATATAGTGTCTTTTAAGGAACGGCTCATCCTAGCCCCCCCCCCCCCCATCTACCTTCCGTACCCACTGTTAACCCTAAACTATATACCTTAAACTGTTAAGCCTTATGCCCTAGACGCTAAACCCTATTTTTGCTAATTATAAGTCCTGAAAGAAGTTTACTTCGGCGGGAGGTCACACTGCTTGTCGCTGTTAGGGGTTTCAAGGCTTCGGCTTCTGGGTTTAGGGCTTGGGCCGCACTTTTCTATGAGGTCTGCTGCCAGGCTCTTTTTTGGGGGGGTCCTGGTAAGATCTCAGGCTTTACAGTTAATTTTCCTCAAACTACCATATTCTGGCCTGCATTGCACAACTCCCCGCAGAAGCTGAAAGCCTAGTTCAAAAGCCCTCCAGGGCGGCGCAAAGAGATCTGGTGCAGCAGATCCATACCGACTTCGACAAGGCTGGCCTGTAAACCCGATAAAGCAAAAACAACCATAGTAATCCTACACCCTAAACTTCAGGTTTAGGGGTTTTGCGTCGAACGAGGGTGTATTGAAACCTAACCCGTTGAAGGGCTCATGTACGATCATTAATATGGTCACGTTTTTTTGTTATGAAGACTATCTTGGTTTTTAATGAATATTACTATGACTCTTATTATTGCTGTCATTGCTGTTATTGTTCCAATCCTATAATATAAGTAGTAGTAGTAGTAGTAGTAGTAGTAGTAGCAGCAGTAGTAGTAGTAGTAGTAGTAGTAACGTAGTAGTAGTAACGTAGTAGTAGTAACGTAGTAGTAGTAAAGTAGTAGTAGTAGTAGTAGTAGTAGTAGTAGTAGTAGTAGTAGTAACGTAGTAGTAGTAACGTAGTAGTAGTAACGTAGTAGTAGTAACGTAGAAGTAGTAGTAGTAGTAGTA